TTTTGTAACAAATTAATCAATAACAACAATACATTTCAAGATAATTACTGTGCAACTTTGTTAAGTTAGATTCAGATTTATGTTAGTCTGCATTTTTTTTAAATATTGGTCTATGTACGCATACAAACGGACATGTTTGTCACATCTCACGTTGTTTGTTTATTTGTGCCTTGCACCACTTTAGGTCTACATCTCAAGTTAAAAATATCTTTAAAATGCATCTTGAGACCTCTAAATTCTGTTGAATTCTGTCCAGCTGATGTTGTTATTTTTAACTAAGGCTAAAACTATTAAAAATCATTTCCATTAACTGAGATAAAGTTTAAATAAAATATAAATATTAGACAAAAAAACTTTGAACTTAGATATGTTGCCATGGCGACTGACTTAAGTGTAAGTGAAGTACTAAAATTATAAAAACTAAAACGGATATATAAATAAATAAAACTAAAATTCAAATACAGAATAAATATAAATGCTAATACAAAATATTAATAAATAATATAATAATATTAAAATAATATTAAAATGTTGTGAAAACAAGGACATGTCTAATGCAAAAGCCCCCTAAAAAAACAGGTCTGATCAGATTATACAGGGCTAAGGCCCATCAATCAACTAGTGCATAATAAAAATATGTCATTCTCACATCCCTAAAACCAATACATAGTATACTATATTTTGATCTACTCTAAAGGTGATTGTTTAACATGTTTTAACAATCATGAAAACAAACAAACCGTAACTTAACAAGCTTGACTTTGCTAAACACTGATGACACTGTGTGAACTGTGCTTCAGTCAGTATTGTTTCTTGGGTTCATGGACCAGATGGTTCATAAAAACCAAGTGTCTAATGGACACAAGCAGTCCGATTCCCCCATTATCCCAAAAGAAAAAGTCACTCCTGTTGGGATTACCGTCTAAGTGCTGAAAGAGTAGAGGCTATCAAGATAGTGTGAGTTAACTCATCAGAGCAGTTAAAAGTTTCTGTCGCTGTATCATATTCCCAGCAGACGTGTCCTGAACACCCTATATCATGACCAAATCAGCAGTGCAAACCCATCCAGTGTGTTAAAGGGGTCATATGATGCTGCTAAAAAGAACATTATTTTGTGTATTTGGTGTAATGAAATGTGTTTATGCGGTTTAAGGGTCAAAAAACACATTATTTTCCACATACTGTACATTATTGTTTCTCCTCTATGCCCCGCCTTTCTGAAACGCGTCGATTTTTACAAAGCTCATCGGTCTGAAAAAGCGAGGTGTGCTGTGATTGGCCAGCTATCCAGTGCGTTGTGATTGGCCGAATTCCTCAAGCGTGTGACAGAAATGTTACGCCCCTCATCATACTGTGATGCCTGTGGCAACCACATGTGATGACCCCGGGCTGGACTTCGCTTCGTCCATGGTGAAAGCCGATCCGGCGATCCACAGCGCGAAGTTGAAGTATTTCCTCAGCGACCAGCACGGATCAGCTCCAGGCATGACGAAGCGATATCGTCCTCTTTTGGAAGACCAAACAAAGTAGTTTCACTTTCACAACGAAGCACACAGCGTCTTCACGACATGGTGGCGGCAACTACAATACTACAGCGAGAATAAAAGTTACGCCTTCTTTCTTTGCGTGAACATTTGGGCGGCGTTATGCAAATCTTCCCACATAGTGACGTAGGTATGTGGGGGCGTGTTAGAATGAGACGTTTTAGGTAGGCAAGTTAAGACTCTTAACTTTTATAAAGAATATCTCTTTGGATTTGAGACTTTAGTCTTTGCAACTTTACAGATCTTCTTTATGCACCAAGAGCTTGTAACACTCCAAAGAGAAAGGAAAAATTGAAATCCCATTACAGTGCGTTTACGGTTACAGTGAGGCACTTACAGTGTAGGTGAACATGGCCAATCTGTAAATGTTCAAATACACACTATTTCAATAATATAGCCACAAAAAGCAAACTATATACATGTTAACAACACAATGTTAAATAAAAAAAATTAAATAAACTAATTTACTTTTCTGTGTAAAGTTACATCTGATTTTAAAACTTTGTCACAAAGACGACGCAACACCATAAACCGTAAGATGACTGTAAAACATTGATCTAAACAGCTTTACACTGTCAAATTGAAGTAAGTTTGAAGAAGAATGTAAGTCCTTTAATAAAATTATAAGCTTGGAGGCGGGACTATCTGTTTGCCTGACCAATGGCATTGTTTATGGGAAACTTGTTTGAAAACAGGATTTATTTTTAATGCAGTGACACAGAAATTACACACTTCGGATTTTTTTTTTAAGTTATTATAAAGTGTAACTCCAAAATATCACAGTACAAACTGTCCGAGCCCATATGACAAGATCTTCAATTATTTCCCTAACAAAAAAAGTACTGTGGAAATACAGTAGTACAATAATGAATCAGATGTTAATAGGCTACCATAGTATTTTGATATACAACATGGTACTACATATTTACCATTTTCATATGCTATGGTAGTTATGTGGTATTTTGCAAAGTAATTAAAAGAATATGGTACCTGTCGACAAAAACATGGTAGTAAATCGGTTTTATTGCATTTAACATTATACTGAATCATGTTGTTTAAAGATATTAAGACAGAAACGGTGAAAAGTGTTGGTTTCATATAAACATGTCCTATATAGCAATCATTTATCATGGTAACCATAAGTTATCCTAAAATACCATAGTAACTAGCTACTACTAGACTGTAGATCACAGTAAATGAATAAAAGATCTCCTAAATATGCTCTCTTTGGAATATACGGTACAATAGTAACTTATTTCGGCGGATATTTACCATGGTAAATAATAATGTACAGTGATACAGTCTTACGAACCGTCATCAGAACGACGTGACCGACTGGATTGATTCTTACCCGTTCTGAGGTGAAAGTCTCCGTGAGTTCTTGCTAAAAGCTCCACAGAGTCCGTGAGTCCGAGTGAATGATGTGTCGGTTCAACACAAACGTCTTCAGCGTTTGTCAACATCAGCAGCTCGAGACGTCGACAGACAGACTCAACTACTTCAGCTGATTTTAGGAAGAAGAAAAAACGAAATATGTGAATGCAAACAACGGTTAAATACCTAACCCAAGGGTAGTTCACATATTTAGTTTATAAAATATAATTATTGTAACAAATTATTGCAATTTATTAAATATTAGTTTTCCTTTTCCATTGTGACTTGTTTTATGGTTCTAATTTTACAAAATTAAAAAATACAAAATAATAGTCCATTATAAATTTTAAATACAGAATGTTTTGGATGACTTTACTTTGTGTGTGTGTGTGTGTGTGTGTGCATGTTTATGTGGTTTATGAG